TGTTTATCCCACAATAATGGCGTCAGACTCGAACTCAAATGAAAGTGGAATTAACAGTTCCATCCGATACTGAAGCAAAAAATATTTAAAAAAACAGATGCATGATCGAAAAGCTCTTAATATAGTGCGTGAAAAACAACATTTTTTATCCCATGAATTTTATCCATTACCAAGAATTTAAAAGCAAATAAAACGCCAATTAAATCACCATTACGACATTTTAAACGTTTTATTGACCAGCTAAATCATCAGTTAAAAAATTGGAGAATACGAGTGCAATCAGGAGAGAAATTTTCAAATTTGCACGAAAGCAATTACGCGGAATATAAATGTTCCGTTGTCGTTTTTGGTTTTTAGTTCTCAATTTCTTGGAAGGATTGTGAACACATGGTTAGTAATCCTCACCTTATCAAACTTTATTTTTACAGAGCTAGTCTAATGTGCATGTGAGCCTAATGCATGAGCTAGCACGCATTATAGGATCGCATTTCAAAAGTGCATGTTACGCATACGATAACTGACACTGACCATGGGATCATATTTAATAATACTAAGATGAAATGAATTGTAGTTTACGACGAGTACGGCCACTATTGGAAATAGCGTATACATACGTGTTAGTTTCACATGTGATGAATGTGAGATGATCAATAGCTGAAATTGATCAATAGCTGAAATTAATCAATAGCTGAAATTGATTAATAGCTGAAATATCACGTAAATTTCCGAATTTTTCAGATTTGATGGATGTCAGAGCTGCCTTGCTAGCCTTTTCATTACCAAATATGGCATCCTATGGCGAACTGACATCCTCTGCCTAAACTTTGGCTTAATGATCCCCTCGAAGTTCTCGGTCGTGTTGAACTCGAGCGTATCCAAGGTACCGTTTACAGGGAGCCATGCAGCTAGTGAGCATTTGGGCGAAAACAACAGCTCATCACGACGCGAGATCCACAGTTTGACACGCAGGGACTTCTTTCGAAAGTCAATAATGGGCAATTAAGATGGTTTTGACAGCAAAAGTAACTTTTTAAGGGCACTCAAGTTGATCATTGTCGAAGAAGGTGTAAAACACCAAACCAAGATCACTTTTGTTAGCGTTGAAAACGTTTGGGCCATTGATCAACGAAGTCTTTTTAGCGCATCTTCTCATTTATGGAAAAAAGGCGCTATTGTGCTCGTCATGTTCGTCTGTCCGTTCGTCTGTCTGTCTGTCCGTCCGTGACTTCACGTTTTCGTCGACGAGAAAATGCGCTCTCTGTCACTCACTCCAGCGAGTACAGAGTTATATTTTTATATAGTAGGTCTATTCCCCGCTTCTCCAAGAACTGATCGATGTTGTCATCATAAAAACATTATTAGAAGAACATTTCATTTGAAACTTTTGACTGGCAATTTTTAAATGATAAAATTGATAAGTCTATTAGCGGTATAGTTAGTATATACAGCTACGTCGGAAGGCAGAATAAGTTATGTTAATACTTTGTTTTAAAATTTAAACTGACGTCTATAATGCATAGTGAACACATTTCGTCACGTGTCACAACCATTAACTATATCACGTGACATGTTCTCAGCCATTTGAACAAAGCTTACTATTGACAAGAACTGAAAAGACAAATTTACATTTATTGCTGCGAAGTGATTGCTTCAATAGCAAATTAACTAAGAATTATATAATAATATAATTACGAAAAATCCACCATATTTTCAACGAATTCGTGTCGAGGACTAACTCAAAAATTTAAAAATACAAACATAATCAATCGGTATGACAAAAATGTATGCTGTAGATACTTAAATCTAAATTAATCATAAAAAGACGGAGTAATCAAAAATACACATCTATTAACAATTAACAGCGAATATTGAACTATAATCTCCGTTCAAACGTGGTTAAATTAAAAAAATTAATTTCTTCAAAATTCTGCAAATTGAAAGCGTTTAAGGGGTAAGCTTAAAGTGTTGGAAGTTTCCGATGTTCTTTAGTTGTTAATTTGGATTTCTTTTTCTCCATACCTATTGTTATGCATGGGTTTGTAAATACAGTAGTAGAGGATGGCTATATATGAGACTTAGGGGTGAATGGATGTATTTAATTTTGCTCCGGCAAAAGTGTGAAGCCATTCTATCCTAATTTCTTTATTTGAGCTCGAGTGATCACTTATTGCGTTTCGTTTTATTTATTTTTGTTAATATTGCATGTTCACGCTTTTTTATTATAAGAGGGCCGACTCCAGGGTTATAATTGGGCTTGGCCTTTACTTGTTGCACGACCACCTTAACTGATGAGCTTCGGCTGATTACTAGAATAACTAATATATGTTCCGAATCTTTTAGGGAAGTTTGGTTCTTTCCTATGATAAATTGTTTTGTTAATTTTGGAGTCTGCCCTCCGTTTCTTCCACTCTGAATATTTTACCTTTACATATGGCCTCTTAACATTCCTCTTAAAATTACAGCTAAACCGCTTGGTGGCTAAAGATTTTTAGGTGGATACGAGGCTGCTAATATACTCACATCGTGCGTCTTACATTTAGGCTCGTAGAGCTTATAATTTTGATTATCATTTATTTTACAGCTATTTATTCTTTTTATTCGATAGAATAACTGCGAATCCGGTGGGACACATCGTTCGATTTTTTGCGACTTTAAGCGAAATAGTTTGCAATTAAAGAGCCTCCTATTTGTTCATGGTGTGTAAAATTTTGCTTCTGTGTGTGAATTTATTGAATTTTCTCGACATTAGAATAATATTACTAAAATGCAGAATTGTAAAATTTAAACGTTATTTTTTCTGCTTCTACACTTATGTTGGGCCAGGTTTATTCGTTAGTATAACGTCGATGAGCCTGTATTGGAACCGCTACCAAGCTTTTTTGGAACTTGGTTCCTTGTTTAAGTTTCGGTGATTCCTAAGCTTTTTCGAGCTCTAGGATTTCCTTCTTTGGAACAGGTTCTAAATAAAAGTTCATTTGTTTACCGTTATTGTCTTATTCCCAATAAAAGATATAGAATTTCTTTCGGACCCAGGTAAATCAATTTGTGGTTGTGAATTTGTGCACAGATGAAAGAGGTAGGAGTGCCAGTAGGTTTCAAGTATGATTACTCCTGTCCTCGGTGTTCCGCTAACCTGTTGTAGGACGAACGCTCATGCAAACAATTGCGCTCATAAACCAGGCAGGATCGCATATGGGCTGTAAAAATATCCTAAGATATACTGAAAGAACCATTTAAAAAATTTATTTACAAACAATATATGCAGGTTAGCCTACGCAAAACATTTCATTAATATGATTTCAATTATTTAGACAGATATTTTGACTTTCTGTCACCTTTTCTTTGTCAGTTAAGGCTAAAGCCTCTTTCATGTCCATTTAGCTTGACTAATTGAATATTTCTGGGTTATTAGCTTGTGAAATGAAGATAAACTGGTCTCTGAAATGTTTTAATTGCAAACATGATGATTTGTTTGCATTTTCAGTGAAATCGAATTCGTAGAATTTACACATTTTCCATATTTGTTCCAAGTCACCACCGCAATGCATTCCGGAATTCGATTTCATTCCAACTATTCAGTTCGTGTACTATTTATTCATGATATTCATTGCTCTACTGCTATCAGTGCCGTGGCACATAATTCACTAAACATTCACTCTGATTCTTTGCGGGCGAATGTTCAAGATTTGAATGAAAAAATTGACCCTTTATGTTCATTTTTAGACCTCATGTTAGTGGAAAAAAACTTAATCATTATCATGAAATAAAATTACACAGTTCATCATTGAGAGCCAAATTTGTTAAACCCTCTAAAGTCTAAACCCTAATGATGAACTGAACCTTTTAAGGACAAAAATGTCCTAAATTAGTCCAGTAATTTACCGTATGCATGTAATTGCAAAAATAATTAAAATATCAGATCATTACGGCTTTGCGGAAGCTTAATCAAGTACCAATACGATGGCATTCAATGCAATAAGTTGATCACTAATCACAACTATTAATGCAATCTTTTTTGAAGTAATATATGTATGCATACAGCACGCTAAATAATCGTTGTCGGCAAGTGTAAATTTTCAAAAATAAATGCATTGCGAACTTTTCGGGGCGATATATGATGAAAATATCTCTAAATTTGCCTTAACTTGCAATGGAAATAGTTTCTGAGAGGATGCGAGTTCAATCGTCGAAGTTATTTTGGTTTGATTTTTTTCGTGTTTCATTTTTAGTAGGTACAAACAGATCGGTAAGAATATGAGGTCACCGATGTCGTGGCAACATTGATGGTTCGCCTAACCAGTTTGATGTCTTCAAGTTCCCGAGACTTAGTAAACTTTTGCCCTGAATCCCCACAAGTTGCGATGGAGTCTTTATCATTTGACATGTCAGGGCGCATTGCGTCATGAGGCTCAGCGAATTTTGACTCTCGGACATTCTCTTCACCAAATTTACCGAAGTTTTTATTCGAAGTTCAATAACGCGCTCTTTTTATTTCGTCTTTTGAATAATTTATCTTCATTTTCACGGTCAACGTTAGCGTCATCGATGTTCATCTAAATTCTAGTGGAGAACGGTTTTCTTTGAACATTCGAGGAGCTATTGCTTGTTTCGGCATGTGTCGTACGTGTGATTTAAATAATAATTAACGAACTTCTACACGCGTATAATATTTGTCTCAAAGTACTAATACGTCTTCATCGAAAGATTCCATTGAAGTTTTCTTAGCTTAGAGAATACTTTTTTTTCCGTAGCTGATATCGTGCACTATTTCTCACCCAGCAAGTCCGAATAACGACATAACGACTATTCACATGTGTGAGTGTACCGATTTTTTTTTTGTCAAAATTCAGAACAATTTTACCTTTGGAAAAAAATTACATATCTGGTAACGAAATATATTATTAAACTTCATGCCAACAAACATTTACCTGTGCAAATATCGAAACATCCCCCAGTTCAAAATGCTTCAATTCATGTTATTTTATTTCCGCACTGAGCAGAGGGCCCTTTTCGCTGGTGCGGCGATGTGTGCACCGCGAGACCGGCCAGCAGTTCGCCGTCAAAATCGTCGACGTTGCGAAGTTCACGTCCGCCCCTGGCCTTTCGATTAATGGTAAGATGGTGGCGTTACTAATGTACAGCGTTAACTATATTCGAATGAGGTATTTGTAGAGTGATGTAAGAATATAAGTACTTACCAATAAAATATCAGTCATTATGATAATAAATGTGTATAAAAATTTGATATCTTAATGCGAAGGCAATAGTCTAAATGATATACGTAGAAAATTTCTAATTTACGCGTGGGGCGGTTTGAAAATTGAATATAGAACAAGAGACTTTCGTAAAATTGGTATGCCGGTCTTGCCTACCTAGCTGTCGCCTCTGATCACAAGTGTTTTAATCACAAGTGAAAGGATGGTGCCCGTTAAGAGGCAGCACTATTAGTAGCTTCGGAAGAAAGACCACTTCAGAAGCTGCAAGAGGATAGAATTAATAGGTTAGTGTGCATTAAATACAACTGAAAACAGGAGCAACTCAACCTTTCATCTGCTTATACTTGATCTGAATTGGTGCGATTACCCACAAATGGGATTGTTCAATATTGAGAAATATAATTCAAATGGGCGGATATGATTTAATTCTGCTCAGCAAGTCAGGCAATTTTAAATTGCTGACTTGATTTGTAATTTCTCCAAAAATTTCCACTTGCGTGTAAATTTGCCGCTATTTTGTTCATGATGCTCTAGGCCTTCATGATGGTCTTTTCTTCATGATGCACGCACCATCGCCAGTCGCGCCTAAAGCTTGCAGGCAATCCATTCTGTCTTGCCGACACTGTGTGTTCCTGTTTTATTTTGATGTTATGAACAGTCGAGCAGCCAGTGTATTCGGCTACTTTATTTGCTAACGAATATAATTACTAGTAATCCTCATAAAATGAATGCGTAAGTTTTCCATCACGTTAGAAAGGAAGGCTTCATTTTTTTACATTAAATCTAATTAAATTAATCATACAACTATTGACGTATATTTTTCACCTCACACATAGTATAACTTCATCGGGATATCATCGGCAAATATTTGTCGTGAGGACAATGGTTTTGTAGCACGAATCAAGAGTTTAACTGCTCGTAAAGTTAGCGTCATTGTGATCCGGATAAATTGCTAGGAATCTAACCGCCACAATATCTTGGCAGAATTTGTTTTTCTTTCAAATCTTCTTGCCAAAATTGAGATTGACACTATGCTTGCAATATGAGTATTTAACGAACAAGCATAATTCTCACTCCCGTGCTGTAATTTAAGGAAATAAAAAAAATTCTGCCAAGATTACATTAATTTTATACATAGTATTTGAATATATTGAAAAATTCTGATTATCGGTCAGATTCCTGTGTTAATTCAGTATTAAAATACATGTAATGTTGTTCTAATGTGAGCACATTCAGGTTGGGTTCTCGCAACGTATGTCTGGATCTCCTTGTAACAAAATTAGAAAGAGTGAACGGTAATCCCGCGTGAGTGTGCCATCAAAGCAGCTTGTTGGGATTAATTCTGAGCGATCCCTGATAGCTGGAATGCTGCTGAGCGATGGAGGTCGTAGCTGATGCGCCTGCAAGCGTCCATTGCAATATCCCTTACCTTCGTATCTTGCAATGAAGAAACAAATATCTGTTAGATGAAAAATAATCAGATGTATTTTGATACAAAAGGTAAAATTATTCATGAGCGCAGTTGAATTTTGTGTACATAATGTGCGTCTTGGATGGAATCGAGCATTATGATTGAAGTAAATTTATTGAAGGCTATATTGACTTTAGGCCGATAAAGTTGACATCATTGAATTATATAATTTTATCAATCTTTTGTCGAGGTAAACTCAGAGGGACGACAAGAAATTACGTTCATGATTTATTGATGGGAGTATTTCGAGTAGCGGACCTATAGAGGCGACACTCTTGCCAATCCGCAAATTGCATTCAATGAGGCGGGAAGACTGGAGCCACTCGAGTGTTTGGGGAAGACTGCCGAGCTCCTGCGAAGCTGTCTCAGGAAGAGGGCAAGGAGGGTAAAATAATCATTTAAAATGCGTTTGAGAATGAAGAAGTGTGAGTGTAGGCATTCATTGAGGTGATTAACTCTCAATGGATGTATTGAGGCACAGTCTAATCAATTTAAATGCCATTAAAGATGCCGAGCTAATCTCCTTGTGGAAGTCGTTCAAATATTAGCCTATAAGAAGGAACTCAAAACATTTTTGTACCAACGTCATTTATGGGAATATTAGAGGTAGTTGAGCTCGGTAAAACTAGATTCGAATAAATAGTTATTGGAAAGAGTGATGATATTGAGTTATCCTGATGTGTAGCTAATTGAATATAATTGATAGCATGCTTCTATTCTGGGATAATCGAAAAGAGTTCTTTTGTTCAGCGAGGTTCTCTTGTACTGTCAACAATATTTGAATTTTAGCCGCCGCAAAAATTTAGAGCTTTCTAATATAGAGTACGGAATATGATAACTATTAATGAAAAATGTTAATTACTGTACATGTGTAAAGGGTATACGTTCATTCGCAGAGACTATGCATCTTCATGTACTGAAAAATCCAACTAAGCGATCTCCAGTTCATTGTTCGCAGATGCTTCATGTAAATTTTTTGTATAGACCTTCAGTCGTCGATTTTTTAGTCCAAATTTTGCATCGCGCTTCATTTCCATACTATAGTTCAGACATGCGTTTGGGAGCGAATTATGTCGATGAATTCTCTTCATGCTCCAACACATTCTTTGTTCATCATTATTAAGATGTGAATGAATCCTTCATGCTAAAATCTTGAATTTAAGATTTATATTATACAGTGTTACTCTTGAATTAATTCAATCAAATGATTTATTGCTAAATTTTGCTAATCTTCACAAGCCATTTATAGTTCTACGCAAACTATTTTTTCTGGAGATTTTCAATAGATTATAAATTGAAAATATTTGAGTTTTGAAAGTTTTACCGAAACCCTAGTACTTAATTAATATCAGTTATCTAAAATTTTTTATTTATATGTTTTTTTTGTATGAATTTTGATTTGAAGTTTTTAGCAGAAAAAACGCTCGATTCCGGAAGTGGAAATTCCAGAATTATTAAAACCGTACAAGGTGCTCAATGTTAATTTGTTAGTTGTTGATTATACCTGCCAGTAAATAAAGAATATTTTACCTCACCAAAGATTCACCACGAGCTGTTATTGTTGTAACTACTTAATGTAGTCCAGTGAACTGGTTTTAGTGAGGGTTTTAGTTCTGATGCAGTGAGTTAGCAGGGTTTAATGCATAATATTATTAATTACAATTTTAACTGGTATGATTTGACACGCTTCTTAATGTGGGACCTACGCACCATACAAAGGGCTGCTCGATGATGATTTTAAAGGATTAAATTATTCATTAATCACGATCACTCACTAGACAGAAACAAATGGTGGGAGGAGAGCATCAATCTTCCACCAATTGAATAACATACCGGACGCTGCGGGAGGGGATTCGTGATTATCGCAGCCGAAGAACGGAATACTTGAATAATTAATCGTAAAGAACTGCTACTTATTATTTGTGAGATATAAAAACCATTGAAAAGGTGTGCCAACAGTGAAATAGAAAAATATGAGACATATAGGTATATTTTTGTATTATACTGTGTTACTACAATTTTCATACTTTAAAGTGTTACTACTATTTTTATACTATGTTGTATTACTTTTTTATACTGTACAGTGTTACTAATATTATTATATAATCTTACTACATCACTCATGGTTAAAGCTGAGCTCATTTAAAAATGAAAAACTAGCTGAAAGAGTAGAGCTGAAACTTCGAATTTGGTTATCTAAAACAACGAATTACTTGAACGCTTGAAATTGTATTCAAAATTTTGTAGTATATTTTGCTGAACAGTCCTCTAACACAACTCAAAAATGTGATGGTGATATAAAACAAAGCAGGGCTCTGACATTCAACGCTTTCGAGGAGCTTAGAGTGTCTGAAACCGTCGTCTCTGGACCTAGTGTATGATTAAGTGGAGTCATCTCATCCCATACGGAGAATAATATATAAACTTCGATTATTTTACTTCAAGTGTTTGTGTTTTTTAAGTGCCATTTCCTGCATTTTCCTTCAGATCTGAAGCGAGAAGCGACGATCTGCCATATGCTCAAGCACGAGCACATAGTAGAGCTGCTCGAGACGTACTCGTCAGAAGGCATGCTCTACATGGTCTTCGAATAGTGAGTAATGTCTACATTCCATAGTCATGATCTTATAGTGTACTTACTGTTGTTTCTTTCTGGAGATGATTATTGAGTGTTTGATTGGTTACTAATTAACTTGATTAACGTGTTGCGGATGATTGTTTCACTTTGGTTTCGTTCGCGTTGAAAAAATCTCTTATATTGTCCGTTAATATTACTTCTTTGTGTCTGAAGGATACAAATATTCGGATGAATTTCAGAAGACAGTACAAAATGAGAACTTAAGTAACTTATTCAATTTTAAATTATTTACACAGAAATTTTCATCCCAAAAATTTAAAAATTATTTCAAGTTGCACCTTGCCAGTTTCAACCGGAAACCGTGGAATGGCAGTTTAATTTTCGATGTATACTGGCTACTCCTGCTATTGGTTCAAAATACTACATCCACTATTGAATAAAACACTCATCGTTATCAGCACTCAACAAGTGTAACTAATAACTCCTTCATCGAACAGGCTATAATAATCAAATATTAAATTAGCTTCTGACTTTAGACATTTTTTGGTTCTATATTGTTCGCAGCATGGACGGTGCAGATCTGTGCTTTGAGATCGTCAAGAGAGCGATGTCTGGCTTCGTTTACAGCGAGGCAGTGGCGAGGTGAGCAAATTATTTCAAGATTAAACGTTATAGAAAATTTCTTATAACCTGAGATTTGCTCTGGATTATCTGGTATCATAAGCTATAGTCTGAAATATTTGTTAGTAGTAGGTGTGTGCTCAGCTTATAAGTCATGCGATTTCTCGTCATATTTATCTATTTTTATTTGGTTTGCAGCATCGATTAAGAAATTGTTTTCGTTCCTTTTAATTGATGGAGAGATGCTGCACTGAACTGACGAGCCTCCGATACACTTCTACTCACAGACACACAGATCTTCCTTAAGTAATTGTATGGCTCATTTATTAGCACATTAAGTGCATTTAGTGATTGCGATGGTCTTCTTGAAAAGAGGATAACTAACTTAAAGCCATCACACGCTACTCTCGTAAAACAAAAATGAGCTAAAAGAAACTAATGAGCTCTTTAAGGCTTTCTTTCTACTAAACTTCATTATAAAAAATACCCCATTTTGTTGTCTAAGGAAATTCCGTCTGAAAAGAACTCTGCCAGGAGCGGCCACGACAATTTGAAAGGCTGTGGAGGTGGCGCTAATGGTTGCAGCACGACTTTTTTGCGTTGTTTAGTGTAATGCAGCTTAGCTACACCAGGCCTCTTGGTGCTGTTGAACCTTGTAGGAATAATCTCAAACAACTGAGGTTTTGGAACGCAGCGGCGTTTGAGATTTTGGTTTTGTCCTTGCTGCACGAATAGGCAAAAACGCAAATCCCATATGTTCATCTATGGTCGTTGTTTTCTCTCAAACAGATGAGTATTGTAAGTAATTTTGACGATAGAACCACACTCTTTATGTTCCCAATATTTGAAAAAACTTATTTCATTATGGTTTTCCTCGTTTGTACAAAATAAAAAATCAAATTTAATCTAGTTCATTTTTCTTTCTACGTCATAATTTACCTTCAGTCAAAGTCAGGCATGCAAAGCACGATTAATTTTAACGCCATAATGCAAAATTTCAAGATCAGTTTGAGTGACGTGAGCTTGATTTTTCAGCTACGCTTTTTGCTGTCCAAGATCAATTAGCTTCTGATTTACGATGTCAAAACAACGGACGTCGATTGATCGCTGGGCACGTGTTCTACCGGCGATAAAAATTTGCGGTGCGGTGGTTGCTTGATATGCGTTTATGTAATTTCTCATTAAAACTAATTAGGGGCCTAGTGTCGCGTAGAGATCGCTCGCACGCTCAATAATGCGATAATATGCGCTGTGCTGCATCGTTATGTTGAAGTGCAGTCAGACCTAGCACAATTCAATTAAATAGAATTAAATAATTAAATACGATGCAACTAAAATTCACGTAATGAAATGGTCACCAGTTTACCAGTCAACTCAACAGCGGAACTGCGTTGAATGTTCACTTGCTTGTGTATGAAACTCCAAATTAAAAGAATTGTATTTTTTTTTTGAAGACAGTCGTGGATCACTCAGCTGTAACTCTTTTAGGTTCACTTCGCTGCAACGCTCAGTCTGAAAAATTTTGGTACTCAATTTTATTTTGACAAATTTCAAAATCATACAATGTAACGATCTTAAATTTGTAGGAAAATAGTACAAATTATTCATGATAATAAAACCGTTGCATGTAGAATAGAAAAAAAGAGGAAAGAGATAAATAAAGACAAAAAATGTACTAGTATTCGGGCGCATCCCCATTCTATTTCGGTTTTTGATAAGAAGTCAATTAGAGCTTCAAATAGAAATAAATCACAATTATCCTAGCAACTCCATTCATCGCATCAGGACGCGCTTGCGCTGTAAACAGTAAGAACTGTAATCCGGTACCTATCGCCGTGCAGCTTTCGCCGCATATGAGGTTTAAAATGCTGAATTTCATGCTCGACGTTAAATTACTTCGTTTAAACACTAATTGAAATCTTATTGTTGATGTTTTCAGTGCCGTAATAAATCAGATGTGCCATTGCGATACTTTTCATCCATTAATTTATGTTTCTAACCTTTCGTTAACTCAGTAGAAATACTCAAATAGCGACTTTTAAGTGAGGGTTTTGATGTGTGTCGCAGCCACTACATGCGCCAGGTGCTGGAGGCGCTGCTGTACTGCCACGACAACAACATCCTACACCGAGACATCAAGCCTCACTGCGTGTTGCTCGCTAGCACCGAGAACAACGCCCCCGTCAAACTGGGGGGCTTTGGTGTGGCCATACAACTTCAGGAGGGCGAGCTTGTCGACGGAGGTGAGAACGAGAGACGCCATCTTAATCTCGGAAAAATGATTGGCAGCGTAAATTTCTCATTAAATTTGTGTAATGAATTTGCATAAGGTAACAAACGATCAATGGTCTCGTAGAAAGTCGAGTTAAAGTTTTGTGTAGCTCATGAATTTGTCTTTTCACAACGGAGCCAAATCATCCTTTATATATGAAATCCCAAAAAGCAAGGAAAGATGCGAATCCAACAAATGATACTAAGCTAATAAATAGGAATTGAGGCAATTCTGCAGCCGCGATCAATAGCATCGTGGTTCCTTCTTAACACATAATGTTCTGTGGGCAATTTATTTTCTTATCTTATTTCATTAAGATTAATTCACGTCAGATCGGAAATTAAATAAATTATTCTTCAAATTTTGTTTGATTTTCGAGTAGCACTATGCTTACATGACTATAAACATTACCTCCAAGTTAAATCCATAATAGTCTCAGTTTGATTGAGTTCAACAGCGAAAAGTCATTCCTGCTTTATTTCTTACTTTTAATCTCCGCTTGAAGAAAGCTTGTTAATTGCTCAGAATAAATTTTTTCTTACCTAATCGAATGAGGATTCCACGCTAAAAAAATTTGGTTCCTTAAACCTCTAATATCCACTAAAAGTGCTCTCATATGTTTTTAGCAACATTTTAGTTTAATAGACGCTTTGAGATCTCATTTCTCATCTCCTGCCTCTAATGCAGGAGCAACAATATATTTTTAGGGATTTCTCTGCCATTCTCCGTACGGGGATCCCTTCAAAAGACTTGGACAAAATTCATAATCTCATTAGACTGCTTCAATAGAAAAGGATTCATTAGGTCTGACAGCGCTTTAGCGAAACCCTAATTTCTCATTTCCCTTATCAGAAGACAGTTATGTTCTGCAGTTAAAATGAGATGAAGACAGAGTTATATTTTAATGAAGCAGCTACTCTTTTAACTTTTTTCGAAAAGGTTCATCTGTAAAACTGCTTATTTCCGTGGTTCAATCCTTGAGTTTACTCCGGGATAAAACTGAAATGTTTGAGAAGAAATTGTTTTTCAATTAAGCCGTCGTGAGCGAAAAAGTTCGAAATTAAAAGCTGCAACATTTTCGCCATGCGTGCGCTGGTGGAAAAATAATTCTTTTTATAAGCTACTCACTTTTTTCTTCGCCCTGCATTGACGACTCACCTTATTCTGAGCGCTATATTTAGTAGACAACAAGATTTGAAGAGTTTATTTATGAAAACCGTCAATTACTTTGCACGGTATTCATTAAATAAGAAACACACAAATATTTCCATCGAATGACGCACTTATACCGGTGAGCAGTTTTGGTATCTAAATCATTGCATCAGCTCCTTAAATTGAAATTTCACGAGCATTGTACCTTCGTTTACCTTGACGTTTTCTAAATAAGGAGAAGGCGAAAGTAGTATGAAGATAATTATGAACCGAACAGCTTTCTATCGTAGAAATTTCTATCAGGAACATTTCAAACAGGATGCCTTAAATTGGAATGGAAGTTAACATAAAATCGTATTTTTTTTATCATAATACAAATGAACAATCAAGTGGAGATCATCAACTGCATAAATGTGCAGTTATTTATTGATTAATGGCGTCTCGATGCCATTTTATTGTGCTAGGAATGAAATAAATCGAGCTCGTACTAGTTTTCATCAGTAGATGTGAAAAAAATATATGCTTCGATTGTTCTGTGACGCCATTTTTTTTTCTTTACTAACAGTTGTGGACCAGTACAACTTCAACTCTGCCGGTGAGTGTCTCGACGCTTTGAATAATTAAAGCTTTATTCTTAAGCATATAACGAATGAATCTAAACTTCTACACGTTACTTTAATTTTCTGTTTCTACTTACAGATTACATTAGACTCTTTCAGAGATAAAGACGGATTACTTACGGATTACATTAGACTTTTCAAGATGAAAAAATTCTACGACTTCTGCACTACGCAGCCAAAAGACTGTCGGTAAACTTGAGGCAAAAGAATTCAATGCGAACTCAATATTGATTTGATGGAACTCTCAATTTTGTTTCTTTTAACTCCCTCATACTTCAGATTTTTGAAAACTAAAATTTTTGGAGCTCTCGACTAGCAAGTTTCCTGTTTGCTCGCGCTATTCGTTATGTTAAGTTGTTCTGCAAGCAGGTCCCGCTTAAGCTTAGACCTGAATAACTGGCGACGGAGCTAAGCGGCTCGCAAAAAAGTGAAACATCACTGCATGTGGAGTTTGAAATTCAACAGAAGAAACTTGATTTATAAAGGAAAAATACACCTTACATGATACGTAATTTGTGTTCAATAGTTGTCTGCTTCTACTAATCATATTGTTTTTTTTTAATTAACAATAGTTTCGCCCATATTGATTTTCCAGCGCGGAATTTTCGAGGCGTTGAAAGAGTAGTTTTTAAGAGTTAAAATGCACCTCTTTTAACATCCTGTGGCCACTGGACATTCAAATTCAATTTATTCCACTTCGTACGCGTTGAAAATATCAGGATTTTTCTGTGGTCTCTTCGTGTTTGCGAGCCCACGTAACAGAGTTAGTCCACGTTGGACACTTGATCTCCAGGTTGCTAGACTATCCTATGTATATAAACAATTTATATTTATTTTAATTGATTTGCTTCTACGGCATAGAACCGAAATATGAGTTTTTAACTTATATCTTCAGTTGGCTTAAATTTCAAATTAACAATATCAATTATTAACTGATCTTAGTTTACTGACCATGTAAGTTACATGATAAATTCAAAATTTTAAGGATTACGAGTATCATCAGTAGAGAGAAATAAAAAATTTAATCGAAACCTAAGTACAGTACAAACGGGAGAAGGTAGATAACAATTGATCTATAGAGTTAATATTTCGATCGTATGATCGTAAATATATGCGTTTTGATTTTTAACGCCCATGAATAGTCGTTTTACTTTTTATTTACATCCTCACAAACATCAAGAAATTTATATATTATTGTATTATTTAATTTCAGTAATGGATAGAAATAATTGTTGTGAGTATCTTGAATATTTCACGGTAATCCTGCAGCCTTGTGAGCTGGCAAGTTCATCGTTAGTATTCATGTTTCTCTTCATTGTTGTAATTGACTTGGAAATGAAGACCATTTAGATGCAAATTGAGTGAATCATTGCATACCTCCATAGAGTGGGTTGTTTTGTGAACAAAATAACTGTCGTAATATTTTTTTACGTACCGGCACCTAAATGCAGGTCATATATGTAGAAGAGGCAGGACAGGTTTGAATTGTTTTCATAAATAGAGACTTGTTCGATAAGCTAAACTATTGAGAAGAGCACATTTTTTTCCAATAGTCGAATGCGTGCAAAAAAATAGTAAAGTCATCGCTTTCATAAACTATATCAATGCTAAAGCAGTCTTCCATAATGAAATTATCAGGTTTCTCTAGAAATTCGGATTAACTGCAGATAATTTTCCATAACTTTACAACTAATATACATATCGTTCTAAAAAATTTACTATTTTTTCATGTAAATAAACCCTAAACTTTATAATTTTAACTTTGTATATAATATTTAGTGGCGACGACATTCTAACCGGAATCTCATGACACGTGAAATGTATTCTAAATAATAGGTAGCGCCTTCCATCAGGCTAGGCTCAAAAAATACTGACGTGAAATTTTGTATTGGGGATTTTCATTGAGGGATTGCATCTGATAACAACTTGCGTTGTTATATACGATAACAACTTTTGTTGTTATCGTATAACTAGGGTCGTTGTTATTCGCCCTTCTATAGCAAGTGCCGTTGTTATCCGTATTTATATAGCAATTATAGTTGTTATGCACACTTCTATAGTAAGTGCCGAAGTCATCCGCACTTCTATAGCAACTGTCGTTGTCATTCGCATCTCTGTAGCAAATATCGCTGTTATGCACACTTCTATAGTAAGTGCCGATGTCCTCCGCATTTCTATAGCAACTGTCGTTATCCGCACTTTTATTCGGGCGGACAGGACGCATCGGCACGCCGCACTTCATGGCACCCGAAGTGGTGGAGCGACAACCCTACGGCAAGCCTGTGGACGTATGGAGTGCGGGGGTGCTGCTGCATACGCTGCTCTCAGGCACGCTTCCCTTCATGGGCACCAAGGACAGGCTCTACGATGCCATCTGCCAGGCCAATCTCAACGTTAGTAGAATTTTCACAATTGTTATATACGCTGCATAATGGAAATATATACTTTGTACGCCCTCAGTTCAAGATGTTATTTAAAACAACACTATTATTGTTTTATACTTTGTCGATAATTAAGCTGAGTTTAGTTCATCAACTAGTTAAGTGAGAGCTGCCGGTGCCAAATCAAATTCTCGTCATTGAGATGCGTAATGGAATTTAAATCCCCTTCAATTCTATCAATGCATCAGAAAATGATCATATTGAACAAGTAACCGTCGTCTGCGAGTGTCAACCATTGTCAGTTGCCGCTCTTCGTAGACTTTCCGCTAAAAATGTCTGACTGTTAAAATATTTACTAATTATGCTTAAATTTATAACAGCAAACCATAATTAATCTCTTTATAATTTGAAATGGATATTAAGAAGCTAAATAGTTTGGTCGGCCCTGCAGCAGCTGAACAACAGGCTGTGGGAGTGCGTTAGTGAGACAGCCAAGGAGCTCGTACGGAGGATGCTTTGCTACGATCCTGTCGACCGCATAACCATCAGGGAGGCCCTCAACCATCGCTGGATCAGGGTCAGTTTGATCAAAAAATGTACTTATATGTTACATCTTAGTTGTTATTTTCAGTCATGCCATTTCAGCTCACGCGTCTGGGAGTCTTCATTTACTTGTAGTGTTAATGCGGGCCTTTGATATTGAGATTTTGATCACTGACCTTAAGAAACTTTTAATGAAACTGTTAGCTGTAGATCTCAGAAATTTATGAGTTGACCCAGGGATCATCATAGATTATTAATATTCAGAATGAATTTTTCATATAAAATGATTCCTCGGTTCTCTGTTCAGGAATACATCTCGTGTTTCCCCATTCCCCACTGCAATAATGAGTGCCTGATTCCCAGTCGCTTGGCCCGAGTGTTGTCTCTGTAGTCCACAAAAAAAGTCGGGTCTGCCCTCGGGGCTGGTCCCGGATCAGTGCTCTGAAGAAAGGAGGCGCGCTGCCTCCAAAACTTTTTCTTCCAAAACATATTTTTCGGCTGACCACTTTTCTCGGCTTAGCCGATGTACAATCGTTTTTCTGAAACTTGTTTTGGCGAATCTTACAGCTGTGTCTGTTGTGAACTGTTATTCCTACAAAAATGTGGTGTAAATTTTGCTGTGAATATTTAATATCAAAGGTTGAACTTATTGAAAAGGCATGGGATGTCGTTTCAAAGACTACTAGCGAGTAATTGTGATTTCCTTGTTACCACCTCTCAGAATTATTGAACTTTCTCCCTGTTGGAGTCGTGTCAACACACTTAACACTTGTTTTAATCGTACTTTAGGAAGAAAACAGATCGCGCGATTACAGATCTGTTACAGATAAGAGAAAACAGATTTCTCATTATCTAAATCCAGGTCTGACAGAGAATGATCACATTTATTTTTTTCTCATTCAAGAACTCTTGGTCGTTCGATTGCTTACACTTCATGTACGGCATGACTTTGACCAGAATTGTTTGTTGTTTCACTTCAAATAATTTATTCGCATCACGCAGGAGCGTGACAAGTACGCACCACGTACACATCTTCACCTGACGGTGGAAGAGATGCGTAAGATGAACGCCCGTCGTAAGCTGAAGGGGGCGGTGCTGGCGGCAGTGAGCAGCTACCGCTGGGGCATGTACTACAGCCCCTCTGCCGGCGACCTCGGTTTCGAGTCATACCAGGAGGCTTCGCCCCCTCACCACGGGGACGACCTCAATAGCACCGGGGAAGAGCAGAGTGAGTCAATGTCCTGAAATAGAAAAGTTTTGAATTCAAGATTTGATGTGTATGTTTGTGCTAGGTCAAACTCAGATATTATAGAAAAGGTGAAAGTTTGGACTTTTTTCTGCAATTAATTTGCTATGATATTTTGTCGGCCAGATGTAAGTTACGCTGGTACCTATACAGCATTCTTAAGTCATTTGTTTTTGCCGCTCGTGAATTATTCATCAAGACAGAACATTTAGGACAGGAAAACCATCAATGGGTCTTTGACTTTTTTCTCATTCAAAATAAATATGTATCTCAATTTGAATTGCAGAATAAAAAGCCGGGTTCAATTTTTAATTAATTTATGTAAATTCCAAAGATAGTAATATACCAGGAAGATGAATGTTTCTGTAAGACTGTGTGAGCGGCGCGTCTAATTTGCTCCAAGATAACCAAATTTGTTAGTTATAAAATGAAGAGTTAAGCATTTTGATACTATTTTAAATTTGCACTGAAATAGAAGCAATTTCTTAAACGGAAACAATGAGTATGAGGCAGCAGTCTCTCAACTTTTATTTAGAAGTTATCGAACGTGACTTTACTCGCCGGTGTAGACGCCGTGGCTGTCATCCTGGACTCGCTGGATGACATCCAGTGCCTCCAGGACTGCCCAATACGTGACCGGAGTCAGCTGCTCGCGCTGCTGGAGGATGATCAACTACACTCACTGCTTGATGTGAGTACTTTAGTAGTGTAGAATTAAATCAAAATAAAAAAGTTATCAGTCTTGCTTGCATGTGAATGACGTTCTTCTCTTGTTTTTACGGCGCTATACGTAATCACAGTCATGCGACCGATAAGTGTAAGTGGGATTCGACTCGACAATTGTCCGGGCACAAATCATGAAAATGCTTTTTAAATAGCATTTTATATATTAGCAATTTACATTTTAAATTGATCTTTGTCGTGATCTTCTGGAAGCCTATCCTGGAGCCATATTTTTGCTGTCAACTTATAATTCTTTAATTGTAAATAATTTAACACCCCGGTGATAGGTCAAAGTGTGTGTGTGAGTTACGTGGTCGTAAAGTTCCCGTTCGTGGTAAAACTACAATTCCGGCTGCGTCATCTACCATAACTTTTGCAAAGTTTTAAATTCTAATCGAAGCCAGCGCCTTCGCTGAAAATAAGAAAAAGGAATGAAAAAGAAACGGCGAAACCTTCTGAACCCTTGGTAATCTACATGCATCGAAAAAGGAATCTTACGATTGATATAAATATGCGAGATTAAGGATAGAACACAATTCTCTGTGCTGCATGCTGTGTCTTGACTTGACCTTTTCTCATTACTTCTTATTTCGTTTGTTCCATCACGTGGGTTCAAAGCTCGGCTCGATGTTGTCACCCAAGATTGGCGGATTTGCATAAGTATTCGGGCGGAAAATAAATCACTGCAATCGGACGACTGTCTCCAGATACGAGATCTTTTTTACAGCCACACTTGCACTGAAACAGGATATCTGGCACAAGGCAATGTTTATGGCAAGAATTTTTTGGTTTGCTACCATTTGTACAGTATATAAGATTGATTAATGTCCTGTCATATATGCTGATCAAAGAAATGATCGGAAAATTTTCCATAATGTTGTCTAAATTCATCTAAATATTTTAGATGCGGGAAAGTGTTGAATATAATTTATAATTAGCTTCATCCTCGTTTATAAAGCAATTATTCTGCTATATCAGTGATTTTCCACAGTTATGTTCGTCCTCGATTTTTGTACGAGTTGTTTGGATTTTACAAAGTTCGTAACATGCAATGACATATTTTTACTCAAATTATTGATTTAGTAATATGATTTATTATTATCAGCATCAGCTTTTTTTCATCAGCGTTTGATAATTTAGTGGATTCTTAAGGTTCACGTTGAAAATTGCGTTTTGCACGCTTGCTGACAAGCTGACCAATGCTTGGACAACGATAACGTGTGTTGCTCAAAATAAGTTAATCGCCGCTGAGTGCTGCTAATTAACAAAGTAAACCAAGTGACGATAAGTTAAATGACAAACCAATCAAGAAATTGCTTTCCAATAATAAACGAGAATTGCCGTAATGAACAAAATACTTCGATATTTCGTTATTATTGGAAGGGAGATCTTTAATCTAGGCTAGTACAGCATTGAAAATAAAATTACTGTTTTAATTCCGGGAATACCATCAACCGCTCAGAATTTGCGAATCGCATCGCCTAAGGAATTACAATTATTTTATTTTTAATGGCAGGTACGATACCTTTATAGCTTTATTTTTATTTTCAACAATGGGGACTGCATTGCATATTCTCAACTACAAGAGACCAACACCTGAGACAGTATCTAAGACTTCATTACGCTGACAATGGATCTAAGCTTTTTGATCAGCTAGGTACAGGATTGACGGTAGAAATCTCGATGAGAAGGGAGAGTCTTGCTGGCTTCTAAGGCCTTCAAAGGTCACTTCAAAGAGACTCGCTCTGTCGCGCGCTGGCCGCGGCCAGTGATCGTTCGAACCAAGTTCCTCTGCGGACGCGGCCACTACGGAGATTTGGGCGACGAACACGTTAATTTGAGCACTGATTAAGCGCATATAAACTGTGATTCAATTATTCTGTGTGTGTTCTTTCAGTTTATTAGCTTAATTTTATTGCTTCATAGCGGAATGTCGTTTGTAAGCCGGGAGGAACTAGAACACACGTCATTATCAACTTGAATGGAATCCCACTCGTGTATTGGCGAGCATCAGAAAATGTTTTTTGTGCACTGTCGTTAAAGGTGGAACAAGTGAAAACATATCGTTAAAACGTTACTCCGTTATTCATGTTAAATAATGGCTGAACCAAACTGAAAATTAAATTTTTGGAAAATGAACGCAAAAAAATTTAGTTAGACTATACATGGTTTGGCTGTTGAAGATCTTCAATCATGTATTTCTGTTTGATGTTTGCTGTAATTTTGTTTTTAATATTACGTCAAGCGGATAGAACATTCTCATTTTCTCGCTTTTACCGCAATATTTCTTCATGTTTGGAAGCTCTCGAAAGTGATTAATTACACATCTGAGCATTGCACGTATATTTTTGCATCTGAGCATTGAATGAGTTTCTTTCAATTTAATAATAGAGTTTCCAAACCTCTGAGAGAATCATTCCACGAAAAATAAAATTTCACAAAGTCTCTCTGACGACGAAGTGATCTCGGTCCAAGTGCCGAAAATAAACTCCAAGGAACTATAATTCCAAACTCGAAGGATTCGTTCTGTCAGAGACCGGACCTTGTGCGTCAAATAAAATCTGAACTCGTATTCATTGGAGTGAATTAAAAATCAAATGGCTTTCTATTATGGTAAATGGTAAATGCCAATCTGAATCTGATTGTCTTCAGTAATGATCAAGAAAAGAAAATTGGTTAAAACTGAATATAATGTCACATTTGTTTACTATTACGTGGGCTTTTTCGGAAGAAATCTACCATGATTTGAAATTGAAATTTGTGCATTAGTTCCGACTTGCAGGGCAGAAAGGCTAATCTCGACACGATATTTTTCTACCAAATGTGCCGGGAGACTCCTGTCCCAAAGCCATTCTGAAGTTGCTTCGGAATATATGGAGCACTCCACTCCACTAATGCTTCACATGAAGATGTGTCCATAAAAGGTGTCATTCCAAAGCGAACGAACCTGAAATGTTTTTAGATTTTGTCGACTGACCCGGAAGTTATAGAAAATAATCTCCATCAATGATTCACTGTAGAATTTGAGGTATGGGTTACAAAAGTATTACACTAAATTTTCTCGAACTTTTTAGGTTCTCATTATTTCTCTAAGAAATAAGGATTGGATTTATCGTGCTTTCACAAAGAAAACGGGACCGTGTGCATACATTAATTCTACACTGAAATTGAGATCGAGGAAGAGAAGTAAGAAGATCGGGTTCGAGTCTTTCCCAATCGGTTTCACCAATCTCGTGATTGAGTCGTCGGCTGGCTTCAAATTTTCAATCGCTTAATCTGTCAGTATTCGGGAATTTAGTTACAATTGCGTGGTTCGAAGAGTTATCTTCATTCTCAGTCATGAATGTTTATAATTTATATCAACTGATGCAGAAATATGATATTGACAAGTTTATTGACATTTTCAAATGAATGCGTCGATCGTGCATCCAAGATTACGACTGTTTTACGAGTAGTTAGTGGCATGATTTCAAAAGCCGTTCCGAATAATTGTTCTAACCTGTAAATTACTGGGTTAAGATAAATGAATTTAAATAAATCTTTTTAATTCCAAGATATAAATTGCTATTAAAACATTTCCCACTTGAACCAACATGACAATAGATGAAATGAGTAACTGAAATGTATTCCAATTCATTTAGGTGGACTTTTGAGAACCCGTGACTTGATACAAAGATATTTAATTTAAAGGTTAATGCTTTAAAAAGGACCGAATTTGCAATTGTTCATCTTTCATGTATCCAAAGACTGTAATTGTTGTTATTTTGCTTCGCTTGGCCTGACATAAAACCGAGAGTTTCAGAATTCTCCCGAGTTACACGAGTGGGGTAATTTTAAAGCCCGCAATAACGGCGGCTCTAATGAATAAAACATCGTCGATCATGAAAAATTTATAAAAAACAAAGCATGGGTAGAACTAATATTACCGGGAGCTTTATTTGAACGCGAATTAAAGACCCATGCCCGCGTCGCTGATATAGCTGATGCAGAGTTACGGTTCACAGAACGAGTTCTCATCATATTTGGGGTACTTTCGTTAATTGGCTTGTGTGTACCGTAGCCTATTGATTATAATTTCATGCGTAATGAGCCTCAAAAATATTCTGCAACGTAAACATGGAGCAATGTTTGAAGTACATTAAATAGGCACGCTCACATATATATGAGTCATGATATAATTGACACTTGCCTACAAAGATGCATAAACAAAAACTAGAGCCAATCACTGAAATAGAAAGAGAGCCATGTATTTAAAAATATTTTTAAATAATCGGATAGCTCATCTACGTTCTATCTTTCGTTGTGATGTGGTGTTACGTGGATTGAATTATTAAATTCATTGCCTTCTTTTACATAGTTATGTAATTTACGATTAGAGTATCAACTATTTTTGTTATGAAGCAAAATTGTTGAAAATCAGTGTTCTCAGGTGCAGAGACTCGACAGTACACTTCTGAACCCGTAAATTAGTCTCCCCTTTATTGTAGTGCTGACGGTGAGGTACGGAGTTTTAATGGCGCTTGAGAAAAGGAGCGAGCACAAGAAAAATGATCCTTGTTATGTGCCAGTCGCCTATTGAAAAATTATTGCCAGAACTGGATTAGACAGCTCTGATCTTTCCTGATATTTCTGAATCAGAACTACCATGCGGAGAAATTATTTACTCTAATTAAACACATTAAGCAAATTGTCTAATATTTTTCAGCATCGAATAAATTTTGCATTCATTTTTGAAATTGAGTCACGAATTGGGCTAATTTTTGTTGAGAAATCCAACAACATTAGAGTTATCACATTTCTCTTCCAATTTTTAATTTCTCTTCCTATGTGTAGTACATGCATATTCCGTAAAAATAACAAACTGTCTTAATTCGATTTGATATATGAATTTAACTTGGAAAATTGCACAAAAAAAATAGTTTTTGTTCTGACACAGACAACATTGCTATTTGTTGTCTCGTGTTGCTA